TTGGCGGCTGTCATCGAGATGAGAGAAACGGACAGAGCAGGAAGCAAAGGCTCTCTGCAGGGATTCAGCTTCTTGTAGAGATAAAGTAACTGTGATCTTCTTTCCTGCAGAACCAACACGCTTGTTTGTGTTTCTGCCTATCTACACTACACCCATGGCATCTTGGCTTTTTACTGATGCTGTGTTGCCTCTTTCATTTTGGATTTCACAGGGTCTGACATGCCAAAAGAAAGAACCCCTCCTCTTCTTTAGCCCTGCTGTTATTTTATCTCTAAAATGATTGGGAGTGTGTATTGAATGCATGTTTCCTCTGTGGCGGTGAATGCTTCTTCAAGCAGTTACAATAATCACTTTGCAAGTAAAAGGAAGTCAGATAAACTCAGGGGGGAAATTGAAATATTACAGGCGAGCAGGATGATTACCACTGTGCTCACCAAACCTGATCACACGTTCCTCCTCCTCCTCCTCCTCCCTGCAGCGATCCGGGTTTGTGATGGTGTTTTTCTTGCTGCCATAGTGTGGAAGCAGTGACATTAAAGGGCGGCGGCAACCGGTAATGAGTCGTTAAGAGGGAAATTTGGAGCTTTGCTGATCCGTTTCCAAACCAACTGTCTTCGCAGTGGGGGATTGACTCCTCTCAGTAATGTTTTATGGCGTCGCTGACGATGGTTGTAATGGGATTTGAGGAAGTGCTTCTGGGTAGAATCTCAACAAACACACAATTTATATGACAAGTGTGAGTGTGTTAGAAGCTAATCTTGTCATTTTGCGGAAAAATCCATCATAGAAAAATAGAAAGCAGCAAGCCGGGAATATGATTTGTTTTTTTTTGTTTTTCCGTGCTGCCTTTTGTTCTGGACGTGGACACAAACAGTCAAGGATGGGAAATACTGTACACTGGCATTGAGAGGAGATGCTGCGTTGCCATGGCAACCAGGCGTTTGCACACACAAAAATCAGCGTGATGCCAACTCTCATCCTCGATCACATATGTGGGGGGGGGGAAAGAGACAAAGACGCTGGCTGAGGCAAACAGGCTAAGCCACATTTCCTTTAATGTATGTGGAAGTGTGTGTGTGTGTGTGTGTGTGTGTGTGTGAGAGAGTGTGTGTGTTGATAGTACCTCTTATATTGCACCAGTCCATCTGTGATGTTTGCACACTCAATGCAATAAATAAGAAATTAATAACGACAGCAAAGAGAACACAGACGCAGAGATAAACAGAACGAGAAAGATGACGATGATACGAGAAATTGGATTTGGGGTAAAGATAGCGCCCGACGTTATCACTGAGCACGACATCAAAGGCATTGTTGGCTTGTGAAACTATGGAACTTTAAAAAAAAAAAAAAAAAGTTAATTTCACAAGTAATCTCCCACCCTGGGGCTTGTGGGTAAAACAAAACTCTGTGAAGTAGATGAATTTAGCTAATCTCCGTCGCACAGCTTCAGGGGATCACAGAGGCACAGGGAGAGAAAATTGCGCTGGTGCCTAGATTGGTGCTTTCACTTTATGAAAACAGAGACATCTTTCTCCTCTGATGTACTGAGCCCAGCTGGTGGCATGTCCGTGCTCTCTAACACAAGAGGAGAACAATGCTTCTGACCAGGATATGAGGGTGGGGGGGGGGGCAGATTAGCCAGAGAGGATGACTGACAGCTGTCACCTGTTTGATGTTTTCTGTTCTGCGAGGATGAGAGGAGACCTGGCTGATGTTGCATGGAACAAGAGTGCTGATGCAGCAGACAGGAGGGATGATGGACGGTGTAAGTGTGGGAAAGAGAAGATGCTGAACTCCACTTTCACAAAAGCAATCCTTTTTAACCCCTGCGTGTGGTGGATTTAGGAACTTAAAGGCAGGGGAAACGACAAGAAGTCATTCTTATTTCATCATCAGCTGCTTTAACCTGTGATCCTCTCTTTACTGGAGGGTCCAGCGCACATGGTCTGAGGTGATTTGGCCTTTGCCTTGAGATGTTGTCGTAGCTCGTACCCTTATTCATCAATCTATGACAAGCAAACGAGTCATGATCATAACAGCTGTCGATGTCGTGCTCTGCCTGTCAGCACCTGTGTGCCCGATCAGACTTCAAGCTGTTCGTTTGCACTAACTGATGTTTCCTCCTCTCTAGATCCTTGCTTGTGTTGTTCTTACTCTCTGATGAGCGTCTGCTAAATGAGTAGTAGAAAGAATTGCTCACCAGTACTTACATTTTGTTTGTATTTTACAAACTCAATGATTATTACTATGAGTAATCGATAAATGAAAGATCTTAGCTGAGGCTGGAATCAAGTTAATAAGATTTCCTTTGAGGGATTTTTTTTTTTACACAGGCCTTAACTCTTTATATCTTGATTTCTTCAGGGGCTCTGGGAAGTTGAAGAACACACACACACACACACACACACACACACACACACACACACACACACACACACACACACACACACACACACACACACACACACACACACACACAAATTAAGCTGATCTGACCACTTCTCTGCAGCAGCAGAGTCCAGCTGCTGAGTGAAGACAAAATGTTCTGGCAGCTTGCTCTGGTTTTATCTGAAATGCTTCTTCTTGGATGAGCTTCAAACGCAACATTACGGGGTGAGACATTCAGGCAATTTTGTCAACGGCTATAATCAAAACTGTGTGTCTTTTTTTTTTCTTTTGGAAGAACATTTGTCACCATCAGCCAACATCTTTGCTTTTATTCCACAGCCAGCTTGTGTTTTAGATGTTTCATCACAAAGCTGATTATGTTTTAGCAGTTTTTACAAACACGGGCCACAACAATAAGAGAGAAACGGCCGAGTGGGGACTTAAGGAGGGTTTTTGAATCAGTTTCAATGATTTAATACAGACAACTTTTCTGTGATAAACACTGCTCTGGACTCTTGAAGCTTTCTTCAGTTTTCAAAGTTTCCACACTGAGCATTATTCTGCCAAAACTCTTCTACTCTGTGTTACCCTTCATAACCCTTCTTAACTCGAGTGTCCTGTGACGGTCCAAGCATCACTCTCTATACTCTGGTATTAACTTCTTTCATCATGATTTTCCTTCAGTGCGTCACTTGTTTGTCGTCTCTTATTGTATTGCCAGTTAAAAATAAATCTGAGATAGGGCGATGTAGTCCAGATTAAAGTCCAGTGAACTTTCTGTCTGGAGCCTTGAGTCTATCTTTATGAACAAATCACAAATAAAAAGAAGCGCTCCAGTATATACGTCAGACCAGACGCAGCTGTGATGCTGAGTCAGAGGTTCAAGGGACTTAATGCAGAGACACAGGCGGGTAAAACACCCTCCACTTTAGAGGCCAAATCCAACAGCTACATGAATAAAATCAAATCTTGATGATATGTTATTTATTTTAGACGGATTGAGCTGTTTTCACATATAAAATTTCTGGACAGCTTGCCCCTGAAATTGTTCCAAGTGAGGGGAGAGAGAGAGAGATGGCAGGTAATGATGTTTAATGAACACTGCGGTCATGATGTTTACAAGATGTCCAAGTCTTAGGCTACACTCTCATGACAGATCTTTTTTTTTTTACCTTTACTGTATGTCAACACTATTGGACGTATGGACCGGATCACATTAGAGCAGAGAAGAGCATAATGTGAGAAGAGAAGAGGATGCAGATGCTTTACTACGTCCACAGAGATCACATCGGTCACTCACTGGTGACACATCACCACCCTGTCCCACTCGTCGAATCTGAATTTTCTTGACTTTAAGCTCGGCTTCAAGTGAAAATATTACGAGGGGGCTGGCAGGAAAAGTCTGGACAAGTGAGGGTTAGAGAATTCAGCTGTTTGCGTTCACACATGCAGTTCAACCTGCAAATTTCAGGTGAATTCAGCTTTTTCTTTATTGACGTAGTGTTGTAGTTATATGTTTATGTGTTGCTGTATGTTTTAAAAAATCTCAGCACCAAACCAAACCTCTCCATAAGCCGACATGGATCTTGTGCCACACATGCCAGCTGTCAATCATACGTCTACACATTTTGAGGGGACAACTTTCTGAATTCTCAAACAAGTTGTTTCCTTTTGAAAATGTAATTTCACCCCCCAAAAAAAGATTCAAGTAAGCTAAAGCTTGCAGAAGTTATAGGCTTTAAGCAGAGCTATAGCTACTTAGCAGCAGCTCTGCTCGCAGACCCTCCTGACACCTTTAACGTCTTTAAAACACAGATTTTCTATGTGAAACTGCTTCGTTTAGCGTTTTTAAAAGTTTTTACTTCCCTTCTCTTTTAGTTTCAGAGAGGAGGGCACATCTGTGGACACTTTTTTTCATATGTATATATATTTTTTTAACAATGAACAACTGGAGTTAGTATGAAACATGTCGTACTTTATGAAGTTTACAGCCTGCCATGCTCAGTGTTTAAAGACACAGCAAAAGCCACTCCTGTTCTTCACATCTGAATCTGTCTGCTGGAAAATGCTTTGTCATCTTGCAAATGTACAACACTACTGTAACTATTTCCTATTTCAGTAGATGGTACATCATTTTTACCACATAGTTTTATGTTGTCACTGATCTAATTACATGAAGACTCAGCTAAATTCCACCATATTTATTTGTTGAAGAGAGCAGCATGAGGCTTTACCTCACTGGTGAATTTATCCAGGACTGGATTATAGATCTTTCTTGTGGTTTTCTAGTGAAGACAGATCTAATATTGTTTGTCTGATTTTGGCATCTAATGAATGACCTGAAAAGCCACAAGAGAAGTACAAACATGGCGTCACAACATCAGTCTACATGACTGACTGCTGTGCGTGAATTCATTCATCAGCTTCTGATGTCAAATGTATCCGCATAGCTGTAATGTAGCAGAGTGATAAACCCGCAGAAAACAAAGTCAAATTCTGAAATTCATCAATGATTAATGACGCAGCTGGCAGACAAGGAGACAAAGTGTGTGGCTGTGCGTGTGTGTGAGAGAGGGAGAGAGAGAGAGAGAGAGTGGGGGTAGAGGGAGAGAGAGAGAGATTGTGGCAGCAGGTTTTTGCAGAGCTCAACACTATTTCTCACAGAATCGGTGTGTGTTTCTCGCGGTGTGTGTGTGTGTGTGTGCTTTCCATCCCGTTTATAGTGCCGCACCCTGTCCTCCTCTGTGCGTAAAACCTCCCTCCCGCGTAGGTGCAGCATCATCATCATCATCACCCTCATCATCATCATCATCACACACCACGTTTCTCCCAGCAGCGGGAGAACGGTTCACCTCACGGACAGGTTGGACTCAGAGATGGGAGTGGAGCGGAGGCTTCTCAGGCTATGACACGGACACACCGGGCGGGAAGGATGGCTCTCACCGGCCGAGAAATGTTGTGCTTGATCGGATCCGCCTGCCTCTGGCTGCCGCTGTTTGCAGAGGTATGTAGCCTACTAACGGCAATGATTGTCTTGATTTTGCAGTGTTGCCTGATTTATTTGTGTTTTTAATTGACCCTTTTTGAGCCAGACGTCCCGTGATAGTCACGCTGTGATGACCTGGGCTATACCTTTTACAAAACAATCCTAAAATATAAGGTCGATAATTAGATTGAGAAAAACATTGATAAGATTGACAAAAGAATCCGGGTGCTTTGAAAATGACTCATATTCTTCATGCCTCACAATAAACCCCACAAACGATTAACTGAGGACGCATCCCCCCCCCCCCACACACACACACACACACACACACACACACACACACACATAAGAAGGGCGTTAAAGGAGCCTCGAACACCTCTAATCCGTCCCTCAGCCAATTAATGGCGCAACCTAAGCGCATTGTCCAATTACGCGGACGCTGTTGTCTCTCACACGCACGCGCACTCACACATGCATGGTCTCAATCCCAACCTCTCCACCCTCCTCATCCCCCCCCCCCCCCCCCCCTTCGGCAGGATATCATGAGAGGAACCCGTCGGTGGCTCCTCTTCCCCCCGCGGTGATGTGGTATTGAACCCTGCACGCGCTGTTTGAGCTTGTCACAGTGATTCAGTCAGTCGGACATGTCGAGACCTGAACACTGGTGAAGGGAGGTGTTGTTGTCCAGAGTGGGTCAGAGCAACCTGAGTGTCAGCAGGACGTCAGGTTTACTCACTTATGAGACACAGCTGGTTAAAAATGATTCCGTGTGTAAAGTAATCAATTAATGCCAAATCAATGTGCTCATCATTAGATCCTTTAATGTCTGTTTCTCTCTCTCTGTACTGTGTTGAGCTACAGTGAGTGTGTGCTGTGCTAATGTGCAGCATATGAGCTGTGTAGCCTGTGTAGAAGTCATTAGTGGAGTACAGTGATGTGCAGGTTTTAATTAGACTCGCTCACTCCTGGAGCAAGCCGAGCATGGAGCACAAATAGCTCACTGCAGATGAGTTTCTGCTTTTTTTCTTCTTCTCATTTTCACTTACATTAGACAAATATTTCCATTGGGGAGAACCCTTGATGCAGGAGCTGGGTGTATTTATTTTCATAGGCAACAAAACATCATATTAGAGATATTCAGAGATGTCTCCCTGTGGAAATCTATCTCTGACATCTACTGTACATCCTGCAGAGTTTACCACACTGCTTTTTGAGACTTGTTATAATGTTGTGATTTGTTACACATCAAGTCGACTGAACATGCACAAAAAAAAACATGACTAAATGTTCAAAGTCCTTTAGAGATTCATTCAAAAATGTTCGGTCCCTTAAATGTTTATTAAAATCCATCTATTTTTTTTTTTTTTGCAAAAGTAGATCTGTAGGTCAACATCTTATTGGGGATAAAATCATTTTTGGAAGTGAGTCTGGTATTTGTCTTCCTAATTTCGGTTAAAGTACTTGTTTAATGTTTTGAAATGACCATACTTACAGAGAGCAAGACGATGTTGTTGCTCAGTTGGAAATTGGATTCAATCTTATGGCAGTCGTATCCGTCAAAGTGAAAGAATATCTTGCAGACATGCTGGAAATATCAGTCCACCCACATAGAACAGACACAGCCGCCTCCTCTGAAACTGTCTGATGATTTGTTGATTCATCCATCTACCTGACATCTTTTATGGGAAAACGAGGGCTGCACTTTAGGTGAAATATTACTGTAATCTAAAATTTGGCCAAGTGCAAAATCCAAAGTAATTTATAACTTCTAAATGTGTAAAGAAGAAAAAGAAGCTGATGTATTAAGGTGCTGTAGAGATTCCCTGGTCTGTAAAACCAGATGTTAAAGCAGGGTTGCCTTCATGACAATTGTTTTATAATTCATTGTAATGTAAAAAAGATGCCATGGATGCTAATGTTGAATCTTCTGATATATTTTGATGCCTCAAAATAATAGAATATCTCAAAGTTAAGTGTGAAATATGAGTGCACCCACATAAAAGAGCCAGAGAATCTGCTGTCTACATTTACAAATTCATCGATCGTCCTCTAGTAAATACATTCACCCTTTAATGTACGGTTTGAATGTAAGGTAAAGTAGAATCTCCTTTAACGCAGTCACAAGCTGGCTCAAGAAATGTAGTAGTAGTAGGAGTAAATATTTATTTCGGTCCATGACCACAAAGCATAGAACATACACGAACAATAATAAAAAAATAAAAAAACAATGACCGAAAAGGTGAAGCCAAGGCTTAATATGCCTTCCCTTTGAACATTTCATTTATACAGTATATCAAAACAAGAATAGCTGCAAAAAACAAACAAACAAACAAAGTAACCTGATTTCACAAAACAGAAAACAGTTGTCAGTTAACCAAATCTAAACAATAAAAAGGAAAAAAAATAAATAAATGAAAAGCTTCCATAAATGATTAATTATAGTCAGACTATAGTTATAAATTATTATTAAATGTGACGAGGAGTCCGTGTGTATTAAAACAACAACAGGGTATTAAATGATCCATGTTAGCCATGACGGTGATTCCTGGATGTGTGCTGTGGAGGTGAGAAAGTGGATGTCAGCTGAAGGATGGCAGGGACACAGTGAGCACATGGGGCCAGCTTTTAAAAAAAGCCCTGAAGGTTCAGGTGAACCAGATCAGCTGACGGCCTCTAATGTGAGCTAATCTCCTGCTGAGGCCGGACAGGACAGACGACAGAGCAGTGGAGAGGACATCAAGCTGTGGACATAATAAGAAACTGTTTCAATTTCTACATCTGCCAAGTCCAAAGAGAAGTGACACAGACGACATTTCCCCTTTTTCACAACAGCAAGAGCTCGTGGAGTCTAAAAGCATCGATCTAGTTTATCATGGTGATGCTTGGGCTGAACTGCACCTGGAGAAGCTCACAGAAAGCAGCGTCTGGGTTGAATATTTAAATATCAGAAATGACTTGAAACCCAACACTGGACTTGTTTTTGTATACTCTTTAAAATCTGACACTTTGTGTGGATGTTGCTCAGAGCGGACGAGAAGAAAGTCTGACAGGAGGAGACGATATTTAGTCAGCAGCTTGTAAAACTCAATTGGTAGCATTATATCTAGATTGTAGATCGTGTAAGGGATCCTCTTGAAAACGAGATGGTGCATCTCAAGGGGTTATCCCTCCAATAAAAAGTTCAACATAACAATGCTCACGTTACTGCTCTCTTTTGTCAGAATAAGTCGCAGAAATAACAGATTCATCAGAGTCATTCGTTTCTTGTGCAGAGTCACGGAGCATGCGTCGGTTTCAGTTCCATCGCAAGACATCTTAAAATGATTTAATAGGAATAGTAAGCAGTTCAACTCTCTTAATGCAGGATGTTTTAATAGTAAATTCATTCACCGGGGCGCCAGATGGCCTAGTGGTTACGTGGTGTGCACCATGTACAGAGGTTATAATCCGCGTTGCAGCATCTGTGGGTTTGAATCCGACCTCGGCCCTGTGCTGAATGTCATCCCCCCTCTCCCTCCTCCCAACGTTTAACCCCAAAAGTATTTTAAAAAGTGGTAAATTCATAAAAAAAATATATTTTTTATTTTTTTATTTTCATATTTTATTTTATATTTTAATGAAAAATATTTGTAACTGATTTGATTATTACATCATCATTACATTAGTCATTTTTTTTAACGCAGATATCAAAAGCCTTAATGTTTTAGGAGATTAAGAAAAAAGTTTTGTCACAGTTTCTTTTTGTAATGTTGCGGTCAAAAAACAAATCAGACTTTATGACTTTTCTTCTTTTAAGCTGCGTTTTAGTGATCAACTAATGGACTGAGAAAATTGATGGATCAGCTGGTGATGAAAATCATTGATCATTTTTTTTACCATATCATCTGCTGTGCATCTCTAAATGTAACGTGAGCTTGCTCTGCCACAGTTTAAACCGCTTCTATCATAAGACAGGAGTGAATGATGCCAACACATTTTATTTTAGTGCTTGTGGATTAAACAAAAAAAATTGTCTTTGGCAGAGAGTTTTTTACTGATTTCACAACAGAGTAAATCATTTCCACTGTCCCACTTTCAGGTGTGACCGAGCAGTTTAACAGTTTGTGAAGCCTCCATGTGATGACAGACAGCAGGAAGCATTGAATCAAAGCACTCTTCCTGTAACTCATTGCGCTTTAACAGACCTTGTTTCAACCGAGGACAAAAACTGTCAGTGATCAAAACCTGCATTGCTACAAAAACAAGCAGGGTAATTTTTTTTTTTATTGCCAATTAGGACTAAAAGCTTCAACTTAAACCGTCATATTTGTGTTCTCTCATCCTGCAGTAATGTCTGCTTATTCAATTCGTCCTGCCTGTATGCACACTCTCCGCTCTATTGGGTATGTGTGTGTGTGTGTATTTGTGTGTTTGCATAGCCATGCGCTGGACGCAGCTGTGAGAGCGTCATAACTGATTACCTCGAAATGGATCTGTGTGATTGATGTGAATGGAGTACCCATGTTCACTAGCACAGGTCACCTGTTCCTCCTGTAATATCATTAGGGTGAGCAGAGACTTGTGGGAAACGTTTGCTGTGTGTGTGTGTGTGTGTGTGTGTGTGTGTGTGTGTGTGTGTGTGTGTAGTTGTATCAGATGTGTATGTGTGTTATCAGAGACGGACAACTTGAGACCATGAACTCACCTGTGTGAAGGTTATAGTGTTGTATTTCACTGTCCTCACTAGAGTTATTTCACAGCAGCAGCAGCCCTGTGTGTGTGTGTGTGTGTGTGTGTGTGTGTGTGTGTGTGTGTGTGTGTGTGTGTGTGTGTGTGTGTGTGTGTGTGTGTGTGTGTGTGTGTGTGTGCGCGCGCCGTGCAGACGTGCGGCCTGATTTCTGAAAATGAAGCATGCTTCTGTCAGATATCATCTGATGCTGTCTTGTACTATTTGTGAGTGTGTGAGTTATTTAAAGTGTGTGTGTGTGTGTGTGTGTGTGTGTGTGTGTGTGTGTGTTTTACACCGTACACTTCACTGTCACACCTGGGTGACTTACTCATGTAATATTTTGGTATTTGACAGGTGTTCCCCGCCGTTAATGAATAAAACGCCTCCATAAACGAGTTGATTTTTTTTAAACACTCCTCGCTTGACGTCTGCACCTCCTCGCCTTGTCTTTGTTCTGAGGTTTGCGGCTTTGACCTGACAGTGTTTCATATTCAGAAGGCGTCCACATTGACCGAGGCTGAGGCAGAATCCTGTCAGAGGAAACGTTGGAACATTTTTAAAGTGCTCTGTTTGTATAAGAATGAGTCAGATTCATCCTGTAAGTGGCTGTTTAAATTCATAGCCTGTATGCAGAGCACCATCAAATTTGTGGGGATTAGTCTGGGCTGATACGGGGCTGTTGCAGTAATACAATGCCTTCAAGGAGATTTTCAAACCGAGAAATAACAGCGCTTCTTCCAACACTTACGATGATATACTGTTTGTTTACTCTGTTTAATCGAGGGTTGCTTTGCAGCTGTAAGAATAAAGACTGGTTTACGTTAGCTTTGAAGACAAAAAAAAAAAAAAAAAGATTTGGATGTTGTAAACGTTGGTGCGAAATAAAAATCTGCTTGCTCGTCCTCTGCATCCAGACTTCTACTGACAATCAGAAATGTCTTCTTCCACCCAAGAGAACATTCTTCTTCCCACTCCTTAGTTTGCCTCAAACTAAACTAAACCTCAAACATTAAGCTGCAGATCAGTGAAAGCTTACTGGTTCATTTTGGCAGGATTAAAAGTGTTTCGTTTAAAAAAAATACATTTTCCCAGTGCTAATCCAGAATTCCTGTGTTAAATGTTATTTGTCTACTGAATAAGCAAATAAAGTCCAATGACCAGCTCCAGCCCCCCCGAGACCCCAAACAGGCAAAAAGGTATAGATAATGGGTGTATTTGAGTATTTTTTCCATCTTCCTGTCAAATGTTTCAAAAGTCTGATGAGTCATCCTGCACTCAGGGGCGTTTAGTAATTAATTGAAATACTTTGTCTAATTTTTTTTTGCGATGTTTGTTGTCACACACCCACTTTGCAACGATCCAACAAAATCAATCACAATGACATGTCCCGCCTTCTATCTTGTGATTGGTTCTATCCAATTTCAGCATTTCAGGAAATACGTCACCACAAAGCAGTTAGATACTCTTGAAGTTCTGTTTCATGGGGACTTTAACGTTGTTTCTGCTAAATGAAACATGCCTACTTAAAAACAATGGAGCGTTCAGTATCTGAAACACGTTGTGAGCGGGAAGATGATTAGCCTAGCTTAGCTTTGAGACTGACAGCAGGGTTAAACACACAGGCACCTCTGCAGCTCATATATTCAAAGTGGCACATGTCTTTTATTTATTTACAAATGCATGTCTTCCAATCCATGAATTAAAAACCTGATTTACAAACGTCAATAAGAACTTATAAATTATGTATATGCAGCAAACTAAAGGAGAACAGGGAGAGCAAACATAACCGCCGAGCCTTGCAGTCTGTTTTGTTTTCTTCTACAATCACACTTTTGTAATTATCCTTTAAACCTGGGCACAATACTGATGTTATCTTTCCTAATTGTGGTCCTCTCTTAACTTTCGGTATCTCTATTTCTGCAGGTGGTGGCTGAGGACAGTTACTTAAACGAGGTGCAGAACTCAGGTAAGTGGGACGTGATGCTCTGAACACAGCCCTCTCATCTGCAGCTATAAATCCACTTCACCTCCATCCTGTCTCTCCTCGTCCTCCTACACCGTCCATCCCTTCGTCTGTCTTTGTTTCTCCCTCCAGTTTAACCCACATTCTGACTCAGACAGTCATAAAAACCCCCTCCATGATGACGCCTCCACTCCTCTTTCTTTAATCTTCTGCCACACTCAAGTCTTACCTCCCCTCTCCCCTCCGGCCTGCACCCCTCTGCTTTTCCCTTTTCCTCTCCTGTTAGAAAAAGACGAGGCCATAATGGGGGGGTGGGGCGAGGAACTCCTCCTCCTTGGGCTCATTTCCACTGCTGAAATATTTGTGCTTTTACAGCAGCGCACATATCGACAGACAAGCAAATTTACCAACACACCTCTCCTCCATCTGTAAAACCAGCTACACCTGCCAGATCACCGGCAAACCATCTCAGAGCTTTTTAAAAAAGGACTCAATCATTTTCATTATTCAGCAAATGTTTGCACAGGATGTTAGTCTGCTGCAGCTTTTCCCCCCAGAGCTCTTTTTGTTGCACCAAATTGAATCAAAATCAGGCTAAATAGTGAAAAACTGAATTTTCCCCGTGCCCCATATTTATTGAAATGTTGATTTTTGTGCAGAAGACGTCGTTGCCAAACACCCACCCCCCATACAGCGCGCCTCCGAGTGTGAACCGTGTCAAATACTCATTGTGGCTGGGAAATGGATTATGGGAGCAGGGAGACTGAGTGTTCCCATGGCGATGGGCAGAGTTGCGTTGTCGTGGCAATGAGGAGGGTGTGAGCGCCGAGTGTTGTGTGTGTCAGTCTGAACACTGCAGGCGCTGGGATGAATAGAAGACTTTAAATGAGACATAAAGGACGAGGCTGAAAAGAGAACGTGAGGCCGGTTATAAAGAGGAAACACAGACGGTGCACGGTGATGATCATAAACCAAAATCAAAACACACAATGTCCGGCTTTTGCTGTTTTTAAATAGAAGGATATAACTAAAGAATCACAGTAAAGATGTTTCATGGTTTGGTTATGTAATGTTTCTTTATTCATTCAAATTTAATCAGACTGGTTATAAAAGTTTGATCACCATGACAGGGCATATACAGCTTTAAAAAAAAAAACACGTTTGTTTATTTATTTAAGGCGTCATCTTAAAAACAAAGAAGAGGACAGCTGATAGATATGCTTTATATGTTATTGTAAATACTCTAAAGGCAGAAACAAAATCAACACAACAACAACATCCTGTACATCAACGTTAGCGTTATACATGTCTCCTTCACAGATCTTTGTTAATAAAGTATTCAGTCATTTAAAAAATATTTTAAAAAAAACCTTCATTGTTTTTCCTGTTATCAAAACAAAAACACAGCCAAGCTTCAATGATTCCACTTTGTCTATTTAAAGCATTAAACACATCTTTTACTGCCTGTTATGTTGTATTAAGTTCATATTGGTCAATGAAGACTGGATCAAGATGATTTTGGCTTTTCAGCAGACATTTGGACTCAGAGAAAACAGAGTACACTTTATTTAGATTTATATAGACCACACTGAACCAGAGGGACACATTCTTTTCAGCTACTTTTAACATTTTTCAACACCCATGCAGCACAACGACATGCAACATCTGCTTTTTAACTGATTATTTTTTATCTTAATTTAAAAATAATAATAAACGAGAATTCTGGATATGGAGACGCGCATAATAACAGTGAAAAATGAATTCAAATGATTTGAATGGCTTTCTGTGTCAGTGCTTTAATTTGTATTTTAAAGCTCCTGTGAGGTTTTTCAGGTGAAAACACGACTTACACGTGTTCAGGACAAGATCAGGAAAGAGATAAAGAGGTACCGTTTGTCCACAGGGGGCGCCAAAATGGATTAAAACCAAAAGTCCACAACAGGAGCTTTAAATCTAAAATTGCAAATCGAGAAGTGATCTCAAAATCGTGTCAAATACAATTGTGGAGCGCTTTGATGCCCCTTTGAATTTTTCTGAAACCTTTCAATTTGTTTTTGACGTCACTTCCACACTGACAAATCATCCTTTCGACTTTATGACAGGAACAATTATCATGGGGTCCAGGTTCGAGCCATACTCGTTATCACAAGGATTAAGATACGGGTAGAGTTTTTCTGTGAAGGAACAGTTAGTAAACTCGTAAATTGCTGTTGCAGTTTCCACATTGTAAAAATGGATGCAGTCGCTCTCATAGCGCACAAACACGCCGACCCTCTCCACTTGACCGTGATGTATCGGCACATTTGGATTACAGAAGGTCTCGAACCTACCGTCTAGGAACCAGATGGCCCAGAGTCCACAGCCAGGCCTCCGGGGAATCACCCCGTTCCTCTCGATGGACTCCTTGACCAAGCCCAGACACCACTCGCTCTTTCCACCCACGAACACCTCAAAGTAAAACTTATAGGTGGAGAGAGCTGTGTTTCCCAGGACGGCGTAATGTGCGTTAAATGCGCTCGCATTCAGGGTTGGGTTTTCACTCTGCGCTGAGCCCATGTTGTATCTCACCTGTCTCCTGTCATCAGATACAACCAGCTGAGGGTGAGCAGTGTCAGGATCCAGAAAAATGTCCACTATGTAACACCGCAACATCGTGTTGTCTTCTAAATCCGTGCCGCTGAAGAGCTCTTTCATTTCTCTGTTCATTTCCTCCAGCAGCTTCCTTACTTGAGACAGGGCTTTCCCTAAACATTTCCGTGTGCGATGAATGTCCACGCGTCGGTCAAAACTGAATGTGAGCGAGTTCATCGTGGGGTGAAGTAAGGACATCTCTTGCATACTCACAAGGAAGTCCAGATAGTCTTCAGTCCCTCTTAGCTCACTCATCTTCGTCACGGTGCTCTGCAGCTTGGTGATCTCCCGCTCCATGCTGAGAGAAAACGCATTGGCCTGTTCTTCTGCTGCTTTTTGCCTCTCCTCGATCACCTGCACGAGCTCAGTCTGGCTCTGCTGAATCTCAGAGACGAGCTCCGTCAGCTCCTGTACGCTCTCTGCTATCACGTCTTTGGTTTCTGTCTTGCTCTTGTCTATGGCCTCCTTCATGTCTAGGACCTTCTGCAGCCTTTCCTTTATCAACCTTTGCATTTCGCCCTTAGCCTCCTCCCTTGTAGCCATTGCCTCTTCGTACGCTTGCTGCACGGTAATGTCGTTGTGGTTATTGTGTTTGGCGCTGCTGGAGCAGATGTCGCACAGCACAACGTTGTCCGTTCTGCAAACTCGCGTGAGGGGTCGGGCGTGCTTCTTGCAGATCCGGTTCTCCAGGCTCGACACGGGCTCGACCAGCGTGTGTCTCTTCAGTCCGGCCGCTCTGTGATGAGGCTCGAGGTGATCGCCGCAGTAGGACGTCAGACACTCCAGGCAGGACTTGACCGCAGTTTGCCGGGTGTCAGTACAAATATCACACAGCACTTCGCCCTCGCTGGTCTGCTGTTGGACCGGCTCCCACATGTGAGCGTCGTTCACTTGAAGGGACATGAACTGCGACGCGAGCTCCGAAATGAAAGTGTTGACCTTCAGATCGGGTCTTCTTTGAAAAGCCTCCTTACACACCGGGCACTGGCAGACCACACTGTCGTCCCAGTAGCTGGAGATGCAGGGCATGCAGAAGTTGTGTCCACATGGGGTGGACACCGGCCGAGTGAACACATCGAGGCAGATCGGACAAAGAAACTGCTCCTCAGACAAGAGGCTGTTGCAGGACGCCATTTCTGCAAAAAAAACAAAAAAAACAAGGATCCACAATAAGGCGAAGCTGAGATTCAGTCCATTAAAGTCCATCGCTGACCTCTTAGTCAGCAGTTTTGAAGACATTCTTCACATACAGTCCATTTTGTAGCATAATACTTTTTTTCAGGTGGACTTTGCCTGTTTGTTTTTTTTATAGATGAAAAAATATAAAAACTACATTTTCATAGATGTTGAAAATGTAGTTCAGCATTTTAAAGCCAGAGCAGAAGTTGAACCAAAGACACACACAAGTTGTTTCTTGGCAGTTATTCAATTTGAAAACTTATACAAACAGAAATGTAATGATAGCTATGTTCAACCTTTTAAGTCCCAACATGAGTAACTCTGTCACATGCATTATTACATTACATTTTAGCTTAAAGTAGCAACATTTCTCCACAAAAAAAGTCTCAAATAGCTGACAGTGTCATTCAAGTTACAGCACAAACATGTATTTCACCTTTTAGGTGGTAGAAAGTTTGCCTCATAGGCGACTACTTACGTGTGATTATTCCAGCTCTGTGTGAGGGAGAGGCAGCAGAGAGCTAGGTGGTTTCCCAAGAAAGTTGACTTTCGGTTTCTCAGTGTCGTGTTTCTTAAAGGGACAGGCACACCCCTGACGCCTCAGTGCTGGTTGAGTTTTGTTTTGCTGTTTTTGGGTTCCAGCCTGAGTGGGTTTTGTATTATTTATTGTTTTGAGGATAGATTTCTGTTTTAGTTCTGTTCATTTCTGCCTGATTGATTTCCTGCTTCAGCGCTTTCTCCCCCGTTTGCTCTTTCTCTTATCTCCATCCAAATTGGACCCCTGTGTGTGTGTGTGTGTGTGTGTGTGTGTGTGTGTGTGTGTGTGTGTGTGTGTGTGTGTGTGTGTGTGTCAGGCAGAAAGTGAGTGAGTGTGTTGGTGTGTAAGGTGGGCATGAGTGTTGCACTGTATAGATAATGTTACAGGACAGCCAAACGGTGTGTGTGTGAAAGAGATAAGACTGCTGCTGGTTACTGAGGCTCCTCTGCCATTAATCAGAGTTTATTCCCCGCTTGTTCTCAAAAAAGCGTTTACAGCTTCAGGGGTGTGGGGACACAGGAAGAGCTTAAATCGTTAAGGAAAAGAAGCCACTTAAAAAAATGGTTAAGTCTAATAACTTAGGTACAAATGTTTCTGTCATTTACTTTGAAAGGAACTATTTAGACTCTTTGCAACGAAGAAGGCCACTTGATTTTTTTTGATCTGCTCCATACATTTTCAAATGTTTAAAAACAGAATCATATTAGAAATGCTTTACAAGCAAATACAGATGTCCGTCAGTATTAATGTGCATCTCTATTAATACCTGAATCATTATTAAAGAAACACTGCGTCTTTGCAGGTCTACTTTCGCATGAACCAAACACCTCTGAATGCATTAGTATGTCTTCTGTGTTTGTGTGCACTGCTCAGCGTGTTATGCTAATCCATATTATTCCTTTTCATGAATGAGTGATCTAAGGTTTTCATTGCTCTGCAGTGGATAACTGGCTCTATTTTGTGGCCTAATTTCCCTTCACTTTGATGTCAGCAGTTTCTCTCTCAGGCGGTCTCAGCTTCACTCGCACATTTGCTCCTCTCAGAGAAGATTACACAAAGTGTCCGATCACCAGCATGTGTAGAAAAGGCGGTTTAAGGTTATGGGAAATTTTACCCGTTCAACATCCGTGTGGTGAATGCATTAGGAGAGATCCTGCGGTTGCAGTGGACAGCATTATGAGAATCTTCTATGTTAGCCGTTATGTTCAGATGAAATACAGACATGGGGATAATGTGACATGAATAAGACCAATTCCACTCCTCCTTTCTCTAAATTCTCCCAAACTTTCTCCATTTCTCTCCCTTCTATTCACTTTGTCCTCTCTGACCCAAATCCTCCTGCTTTCATGCCCAACATCTTATTCTCCCATCTTCTCCCACATGTACTCACTCTCCCCCCTCCCTCCTCTCCTTCTCGTCGTGCAGTACCTCTGTCCTGCTCTGAGGGGTTCACTGAGTTGGGATACTACAACGGCACCGTGTCTCAGACGGACTCTGGCGCCCCCTGTCTGAAGTGGACCGAGTTTCCAGACTACGTGATGCAGTATCCGGGCCGAGGGCTGGGCGACCACAGCTTCTGCAGGAACCCGGACCGAGAATCAAACCCCTGGTGCTTCTTCAGACAAAACTCTGGAGCCATCGGATGGGCCTACTGCGACTGCCACCAGGGTGCGAATAAACATATCCAGGACTTTACTTTTGGAGCAAATGACATAATAATGATAATAAACTTCTTTAGATGGCACAAAGTTACCAAGTGATTCACGATTAAGAATATAACCCAGATAAATAAGAAAAGAACAGTACAATTTAGGGGAAATAAAATCAAAATTCAAATAAGGGGTAAATGATTCATATAGATTTTCATAGGAGAAAATTGGGGTTCAAACTCATAATGACTACATTCATCTGAAGCATTTTGCCTCTTGTTAAATTGTTCAGCTCACCAGAATTTCTGGGCAATTTTTATTAATTGATTTGATAAATCTTTAATTTAACTAGGAGGGAAACTCTGTGAGATTAAAAAAATCTAATTTTTTAAGAGCGTCCTGGTCAAGACAGGCAGCAGCACATATCAAATTCTCCAACAGACAACGAGCAGCCACACATGAAAACGTAATGTCAGGTACATGGGTGCATTAAAAGACATGAAATAACAAGTGAAGCAGAAAATGTTTGTCAGAATTGAACATCTACAGCCAGATGTGTCATTTGATATCCTCTTCAAAGCATCCAACGAGAGCCGCCTGTTAAGTCTCAGCTCTTTGTGTACTTGTTTCAAATAAAGGGAGCAGCAAACTGAAATGCTTTTTTCTCCTGGTTCAATTTTGGATCAGACAGGAAGAAAAGATCCTGAGGAGGGTATGATGACTAGCATGAAGGCTTTACATATGATTCAAATCATTAAAATAGGAGTTGTTCTTCATCATGGCCGTCCTACAAATTTTTTTTTTTTTAGCTCTACAAAGAATTTGAGTGTTTTTGGGTCTTTAAAAAGAATCTGTCCACAAAATGCTGCCCATCATCCTCTTTGTCGGACCTAAAAAGCCACTTTGCTCTCTATGCTTTGCACCAAACGGATGACAGATGAAGTAAGGGACTACCTGCTGAAAAAGAGTGGCCAAAGAAATGAATATTTCCAATAAGAGTTGGTGGAAACCAAAACAGAGCTTGGATTAAGATGAAAATTTGACATCCAGAAACATAACTTAAAATGAATCCTGCTAAATAAATAAATGCTCTCTAATACTTATTATGTATAAACTGTTTGTTCTGCTGCCCCCAAGTGGCCAAAAAGGATTTTAATACACATTTTAATAATTAGTTAGATTTTCTGAATATGTTTCATGCTGCGTCACACTGTGAGTTTATTGTTCCCTGTTTATGTTTTATGACAATCATAAAAGTGTTTTTTTTTTTTTTTTAGGTGCATCTCGTCTGGTTGGCAGCTCATCGTCTGGCAGTGGGCGTGTTGAGGTCTACTTAAACGGCCAGTGGGGTGCGGTGTGTGACTCCCACTGGTCGGACAGAGACGCCAGTGTGATCTGCAGGCAGCTCGGCCTGGGGTAAGACAAAAAAAAAAAAAAAACCCGACCTCTGATTCAGCGTCATGTTTCACAGTTTATTCTTATAGCCACTTTTTTTTAATTCTCTGTCAACAGTGACATCGGCACGGCGCTGCAGCACTCACAGTTCGGCTCCGGCTCTGGCCTCTTCCATTACGAGCGGCTGGGTTGCCGTGGTGATGAGAACAGTCTGAGTAAGTGCAGGAGCAGGACGTTCGTTACAGGTGACTGTAGCCATGGAAACGAAGCAGCAGTCATGTGTGCGGCACCAGAAGGTCAGTGTGACTTCCACAGTGTCACCTGAACATTTCCCCCTCACAGATTTATGTTGACTTCAAAATATTTTTTAGCGGTATTATGAGTAATATTTCATGTATTCCTTCATAAAAGTTTAACTAATACAAGAATATTAAATATTAAAATAAACATCACTCTGGGATTCAGGTAGATCTGAGGTATTTTTTTCTACTTCCTCTCTCAGGCAGTGGTCCTCCGCTGCGATTGGTAGGCGGCGAGGAGGACTTTGAAGGTCGTGTGGAGGTTTTTCATGCAGGAAGGTGGGGCTCCGTCTGTGACGACCAGTGGGACGACAGAGACGCAGAGGTGGTGTGCAGACAGCTCGGGTTTGGGTATGTGTGTCAGGTTTTCACGCCTTTACATCTGGTTAACATGTGTGAGTTGACGTTGTTATTATTTTCTAATTTTTTTTTCCCAACTCTTTTTATTTAAATTTCTCAAACAACGGTAAATGACACGACAAATAAGGAATCATTCAGAATCAGTGTGTCAGTAAACCTGTACCCCTCCCTCGTCTCACAAGCCCACCCAACTCAGATCAGAGCCAAACAGGGTCACACACACACACACACACACACACACACACACACACACACAATCAGACGTCACATTCAAAGCAATAACAGACTGAATAAAAGTAATAAGAAAATTATATGCATAATATATAGATATACACATAAAAGATGTAACAATTTTTTTTAAATATGTTTATATATAATATATTTTTTAATTATAAAACCCAAAACGAACTATAAGGCAGATGTAGGGGAGGGGTTACACCTTAAATAGAGAAGTGAAGGAGTAAGAATTCAGACTTTAGTCTCATCCGAACCCGGGGATAAATGAAGGGAATTAACAAATAACATGACTCAAACTGATTCCAATTTGATATGTTTCAATTCAATTGAGGGGTGAAGTTACTTTAATTGTAATCATTCTTTTTAATATATATGTTTTTGGGCTTTTTACCGTCACTTGATATCAGAGTTGATACAGTATGAAACATAGGAGAGAGAGTGATAAATGACATGCAGGAAAGGAGCCACAGGCCGGACTTGAACCCGGGCTCTACATAGGGCGTGACCTAACCGCTAGGCCCCGGTAGTGAAGTTATTAATTCATCTGATGTGGTATACACTTTCTATTTGCATGTTTGATCCACTTGTATTTTGTTGCTGGTTGTTAAAGCCGTCAGAAAAAAAAAAGAAGGACCTCGTTTTAACCATCAACTATCGGGCTGGGGAACAAAGCAGGAGAGTAATGGCTTTAGCATCGAGCTGACCAAGAGGGGCCAATGTAATACCCTGAATGATATGAATGGGACACCTCACAGTGGCAGTATTTCAACAACAGAAGCTAACATTATTCTCCTGAAGCTCTCGAGTGAGCAGCCATTAGTGATCTGGAGGAGCTCAGTGTCAAAACTTTGGAACAGAGCACAAACGTGTCGTCTGGATCAAAGTGATCTCCCCACACACACATCTCAGCTTTAAGTCGAGGATGTTTGAATCTGTGCCGGTGTTTCCTCCTCGTATCCCCTGCTGCCGAGGTGTTACAACTCAAAGTGTCAAACAGTGATGACGGTGTAACTGTGAGGAGAAGAAAACTCCTTCCATGTTCAACACGAGGCTGCATTTCATCTCCTCAAACACAGTGGGACGTCTCACCATCTGTGTTTGTGCTTTTGAATAATAGATGTTCTGACACAGCTGCACACAGGCACTGATGTTCAGACACTTAAAGGCAAAGTGAAAAGATTTGTTTTTCCCACCTGGGCAGTTTATTTTTTCTGCAATAGGTATGTGTGACAAAAGTGAACACACTACCCTGTGATTTTGTAGTTTAAACACTTAAGTGAGATGAGGTTTCATATTATGGATTTATGTCTCTCAGTTGCATGTGTGTGTTGTAGCCAATAAAAATAACCTGCAGGTCAGTCTCTGCTTTCTGTGCTTTACTATGATCAATTTGAATACTCACAGCCCCACACACACAGAAAAGTGCTTCTTGCAGTATTTCAGCATCAATAAATAATCCCCACGTGAACGCAGCAACATGGAGCATTTTATTATTTATTTAGATGATTTGATTTATTTTAGAATCATGCTTTATCTCGCCACCGAGGTTGTTACGTGTGTTTTGGATCCCTTTTCCTTCCTGTGAAATAAAAATCTCCAAAATCCTCACACATGCCGCTCACAGCTCACAGCTCACAGCGGGAGATTTTACGTGAATGTGTGTGTGTGTGTGTGTGTGTGTGTGTGTGTGTGTGTGTGTGTGTGTGTGTGTGTGTGTTAAAGGGGAGTGGCGAAGGCCTGGTCCTGGGCTCACTTCGGTCAGGGTTCTGGTCCGATCCTGCTCGATGCTGTGAAGTGCTCAGGAAACGAGCTCTTCCTGGATCAGTGTCCCCATGGCGACTGGGAGCAGCACAACTGTGACCACATGGAGGATGCCGGGGTCTCCTGCAGCCCTTATACAGGTACATCTACACACACACACACACACACACACACACACACACACACACATGGCTGCTGTACTCTCTAATATATATCAAGTGGTTATTTATAGCCCCTGAACATCAATAAATCATTGCAGCATGAAGCAGCAGCAGCATCCTCTCTGTGACATTTATGAGAGCTGAGGAATAACATATCTGCTGACATGAAGCAGCAGCAGCGAGCATTCATCAAGCTAAGATTAGATTAATAATGAATGCTAAGTGTTCACATTAATATCAATTTTAATGAGAAACGTAGTGTCTATAAAATGCAATCTGTCGTTAAGGTTGTACAAAGAGTATCCGTCTTCGGTCCTGGAGGACTTTTTAAACCGTCCTGTTAAACAAACTGTTTCAGACGGTGTGGTGCGTCTGGTCGGAGGAGACAGTCCCTGGGAGGGCCGGGTCGAAGTTTTCCACAATGGTGACTGGGGGACGGCGTGCGACGACCACTGGAGCCAGCAGCATGCAGAGGTGGTCTGCAGACAGCTGGGCTACAGGTAAAGGAAAACACTGTAATGTAGACTGAGCAAACTGAAAAACTTCCTTTACAAGTTCTGGATACAATAACTGAAGAGCGAAGAAGACGTGTTAGAATAAGTAAGAATGAACAGGTATGGTATGGTTGTCATTGATTTGATGACAGTCCACTTCCATGTTTAGCTCGAATGATGGCTTGGAAAAACATTTTTTTTAATGTACTTTGCATGAACTTTTGAAGTGATGTCCACACCACCGCCAAGGCTGAAAACCTTGCTGCTCTTCCCCGCCTTCAGGGGTCACGCTGAGGTCGTGTCAGACGGCGCGTTCGGAGAGGGCGTCGGTTTAATCCTGCTGGACGACGTCCACTGTGAGGGGTCCGAGACGTCCCTGCTGGACTGCAGGCACGGGATCTGGGGACGGACCGACTGCTCTCACAGTGAGGACGTAGGTGTCCGCTGCAGGAGACGAACCAGCCCAGAAACCAACGAGGTGCCGGTGATCGCTCCTGCTACAGGTGGGAGATCCAGTACAACCACAGTGTGATCTGTTGGTCTCTCGCTTCGAGTTTAAAGTCTTTTTTTACATGATAGCTTTTATCAAACAGGCCATTTGGAGATTTTTCCCTCCATGACATCACAAAGGGCAGTAACCCCTCCCCCAGGTGGGTGACACTCCCACAGCTAGGTGTTTGTTCTGCCCCTTTGAGTCTGCCTTCTCACCATAAACAATGGGAGATGGGACAGTAAAACCCGAGCCACCCAAGCCCTTCCAGAGGGGGGCGTGGCCAGACACAGCTCATTTGCATTTAAAGATATAGACACAGAAACAGCCTGTTCTGAGCAGGGCTGAGTTAGATAGAGGGGTTTAGGCATGATAAAATACATGATGAGTGGATTGTGAGCGAGAAACTACACATACATGTTTTATATTAGATCATATCTTTCTTTGTGTCTCTGTGTAGTTCCCTCTCTATGGGCTCACACGTATATTCGTCCATAGAGTGTAAATGCCGCGTGTTGACAGCACTCAGATTAAAGGGTCTCAGCCCTCAGCAGCTCCAGTAGACACACAGCTCATTAGAATGAGAAAGCAGACTGAATAAAGAGACACAGTGACATTTAACACAGTCACTGTGTCACTGTGTGAGTGTTGACTCGAGGTTAGAGATGCACAGACGTGAATCGTAATGAGAGTTGTGTGTTTTATTATTTCCTGTCAGGTCCCCTGGTGCGTCTTGTCGGTGGCAGCAGCAGAAAGGAGGGCCGGGTCGAGGTGTATCTCCATGGCGACTGGGGGAGTATTTGTGACTCCGGCTGGAACGACCTGAACGCACTTGTGGTGTGCAGACAGCTCGGACACAGGTCAGTCACGAGACAGAAAGGAACGAGAGAGTTTGGGTCAAGATGAAATGATTTACAGGTGAAACTTTTCCTCTCTAACAGTGGTGGAGCGGTAGCGGCGGCCGGGTTCGGTCAGGGGAAGGGTCCCATCCACCTGGACCAGGTGAGGTGCACGGGGAAGGAGGAGTTCCTGGGAGAGTGTCCCTCGATGGGTCAGAGAATCCAGGGCTGCAGGCGCAGGGAGGACGCAGGGGTGAAGTGTAACGTCACGCCCAAGAAGGCAGCCGTGCAGGTGAAGCCGGAGGAGCTGAGCTGTGGGCGCCGGAAGCTGGTGGAGGAGGAGAGCAAGAGGAGGAGCCAGGGAGAGGAGAACATACTCAGGTAGGATTTCTTTTTACACAAATCTGTGACCGACCTGGTGACCTAGGATCCAACTATGAAGATTTGTCAGTGAGATTCTGAGAAGATTCAATAACAAACACATACACCACAATACAAGAAAAGATTGTGTGAATGCACTCGGTATGTTTAATTAATAGACCAAAGAATAGACTAAATGTAATACCTGAGCCTCGATATGACTGACAAAAGCTAATAAGACCAACATTGACAAGATTGACTATTTCTATAAGGTAATTTATTATTGCTTGTAAACACTGCAGCAGGGTCGGTGTCGGACAGCACGGTGCAGAAACAGCCTTTATTTATATTTTCTACCTCAATGATTCAGTCAGTGATACGTTTGATTGTTAAAAGGATGAGATCAAAGGTCAAATATTTGCTTCCGTTACTCTACTTTATATTCAATATTGATTACTCTCGCCTTCTAGTTCCCTTTGTGTGACCCAAACCAGCATGACCTCTCATGAAAGGTTATTCTGTGTGTCAATCACAGTAAAGGTGGATGTTGCCCTTGTGACCACAGCATGGTAGCCACTCCATTACAACTAGTGGAGACACCCCCCACTGGCCATTAGAAAGAATGCACAGTTAAGGCACTTCAGCACTGGCATCATCAGCATCACCTGAGGTTGAAGCCTCCTGCAGGACCTGTAGGCTACTACCTCTTATCACCAGCTCAATTTAAACATCGGGTTGTCTATACAAACTGTTTACAAGGCTGGTAAAAATGTAAAACCTTTCTGAGTTTTAATAGTTCTTAACAAGAAATTGCAACGAGAGAAACAAAATACCCCCCCAAAAAATGTTCCATTCAGCGAAACAGTGTTTGCAGGAGTGTGCACCTCCTTTTCTTGTATCCGCTTATGTGCATGTGATAGATACAACATGAGGACCCGCTCATCAGTGCTCAGTGCTGCTCATGATGAATTCAATTGACAGGAACTGACACAGAGTTACGCAATGGCTTTTTGTTCCCCGTTGGCAGCAGTCTGCTTTTAAGTGGGTGGTAATCTTACTTTGAACTTATGTTTGTTGCTCTATGTACTCGTTGTCTGTCCTGGTTAAAATCCCTCTTGTGCACAGAATTGAGTTATCCTTCATTATTTGATGCGTCTGCTTAAAAAAAACAGATCTAACAGAAAATAAATTGTCAGTGTAATCAACATTACAGAAGTGCATGAGGCTTATGAGATGGGAGAAGTCTTCATGATTTATTATTTCCTCTCTCTTTCAGGACCACGTGGCCTTGGCAAGTGTCTGTGTGGCTTCAGTCTCGAGAACAAGATGGCGGCGGTCCTCTCTGCAGCGCCACTTTGATCAGCCCGTGCTGGGTCCTGACGTCTGCCACCTGCGTCAGCAGGTAAAAGTGACGCTGACAGACATACGCCGAGGCATCGTCGTCAGGAGCCTCTGAACACCGTATGAATATAAACAAACTTCTCTCCTGCAGGTTCGGCAACGACCCGTCCCGGTACGCGGTGCGTGTCGGGGCTTCAGAGCGTCCCCTGACTCCCGAGCAGGTGGTGGTTCACAGGAAGTTCAAAGGTCAGAGTGGAGGTCACGACCTGGCTCTGTTGAAGCTTCCCAGCGCCAAGGGCCACTGTCTGACCTTCGAGCCAAACACCAACGCAGCGTGCCTTCCTGCCGCAGACACGGCATCAGGGGGAAACGCGCCATCATCATGCGTTGTCATGGTAACCGCAGGTTGGACTGAAACAGGTATGTGTTTCTCTCTCTACTGAACCCTTTGTACGTCATTTTTAATGGCTAACAATATCAGAACCTGTCAAAGAACGCTTTGTGATACCGATTAAGTTAAGAAGATATCAACTGAGGCCATCCACAAACAGAAGTGAATCATAATGCACTTTTTTTACACACAGCCTGTTTGAAGCAGTTTTCTCCTGGTTTAAATGAAGACATCAGTAAACTACAGAATATACTGAGACTGCAAACAGAGAGAGAGATGTAATGAAGGCTGCTGTCTGTACTCATGGGCTGAGTAGGTGTTGTGTCAGGGTCTTCTTTTAGCCCCTGACAAAGAGAGGTGCCCCCTATCTTTGGCTTTCATTAAAACATGTTAACAACTTTTGGAGGATTTGCCTTTAAATGTTTTAACTCCACCTCGGAATACATTTTAAGGACTAATGGTTTCCTTCTACTGCCATCATGAGGTCAAAATTTGTATTTTTGGAAGTCTTGAGCAGAGATGCATCTTTACATTTTATTTACTCCAATTGCTCGGGACAACAAGTAATGAGTCGTTTTTTGTTGTTGTTGAAATTTCAACCTCTAGACTCGATGAATGTGTTCTCTTTAAGGTCAGCCTTCTCCAGAGCGGAGCTGGTAGCCTAGTGGTTAGTGTGTGTGCCCCATGTACTGAGGCTTGAGTCCTAGAGAGAGGACAGCCCAAGTTCGAGTCCGACCTGTGGCTCCTCTCTCGCCCTGGTCTCTGACACTATCCACTGTCCTGTATTTTAGAAAATAAGGGCGTAAAAAGCCCCAAAATACAATAAATTACTCTAAATATGTTCATAATATGTTTATGGTTTTAATAGCAGACGAGATTTAATGGATAAAAACATAGAAATGTATTCTTTATTGATTGATTTCTTAATAAATGAACTCATTATTTCACTCCTTCATCATCTCCTCCTCCTCTCTCCTAGACTCTGTCCTTGCCTCCTGGGTCCCTCTCATGTCGTCATGGCAATGTAAGAAGCGTTATGGCGACAGCTTCTCCAGCCACGGCACCCTGTGTGCCGGCAGTCCCCCTGACACCAGCCTCCTCCATGGCGACAGTTGTCAGGGTAACTCTGGAGGCGGGCTGGTGTGTCAGGAAGAGTCGGGTCGTTGGGTCCTCACCGGGGTCGTCGCCGGGGGGAATGGATGCTCGGCCCCCTCCTCGCCCGCACTCTACACCCGAGTCAGCCGCTTCAGGAGCTGGATAGAGGAGGTCGTCGACACAGGAGCCCGCTCCGAGGAGCCGCACACACACGCTCAGACGCAAGAGGACGTGACCCACGTTGACAATGACCTGACGCACACACACGAGGAACACACACAGCGAGGCGCACGGCAGACACACACACGATCAACAGGAAACAAACGAAATCAATGATATCAAACACACACACACTCACCACCCACACGCTAAGAGCGCGCACACACACACAAACACACAAATTCTGGTCTGATTGAGGCCGTGCCATTGGCGAACCATCAGTGCCATGTGACCACCTGAGGAGGAGGAGTTAAAGAAGTTAGGCAGAAAAAAAAAAAGAGAAAGATGCTCAAACTTAAAGTCTGCGCTCATTTTTAATCTGAACTCAGTGTCGTGAATCTAAAGTGTGTGCGGTTTGTAGTCGTCGGCGTGTGTGGGCAGAGCTACCTGAGCTGCCAGAGTGTGTGGGTGCGGTGTGTGGCGCTTTACAGCCGGAAACTACGAGCCAGAACAACGACTGAGGGGGTCCAAATGTTTAGACTGAGCCTGGCACGCTGATCTGATCCCCTCACTGACAAAAAAAAAAAAAATCAGCATGGCATGAATTATAAGGACAACGTGATAAAAATATCTGAGGGATATTTCTAATATGGTCACACAAGAATCTATGCTAAAATCACCTTTAAATGTGTTTCGCCTGTTCCAGCAAAAACATCTAGATTAAAGCCGACTGTATGTCATCCCTCTAATATGAATAATTAATGAATCTTAGATTAACTGCTGCATTAGAGCAACCCTTAACCCGGAGTTCAGTTTTGATAAAAATTCAGTTTTGGATGTCGTTCTTTTTTCCAAACAGGGCTTCAGGCTGTTGTCGTAAACCTTTACTGTTAAAAGTGCTGTTCAGACCCGTGACTAAGCTATCGGATTCAAAACCTGTTTTTTTGGGTTTTTTTTCATGTTTTAGCGCTTCACAAATCATGTAAACTTTATGTAACTGCTGATCATTTCTAATCACAACGGTCATAATGACATCCAATCAGCTGCTCATGTTCTAAAAGATGAACAGATTGAAAAACATATGGAAATAAAATAGTGTAAATACATTTCAGGAGGAGGGATGGACGGGCTGCAGATATAATGAAAAAGTTTTTTTTTTTTACTGCAGAATACTGAACGCACTTAATCCACATCTGTCCAATTAGTCCCCAGTGCTGTTTTAAAATATAAACCAGACTGTTATAGGTTAACGAAAAAGATAAAATCAAGGTCAATATCACAAGTGATGTGAGAAAAAGTGTTTATTTACAGGTCATTTATATATCAATAATAAGCAATTCATAACCAGATTTGGTTTAGAATTACAAATGATTCCCTTCTTACTTCTTATTCATGAGCTCAGGAGATCAGTCATGACTTTTTATTATGATTCTCCAATCAGACACATTTGTTCTCACCTGTAAAGCCAAAGTCGTTGAGAGGGATTTTCTGGCACAACTTCACCAACGACCACAGTGCAATGGAGAGGTGAAAAAGCTCCAGCAGCACTTGTAGTATGAAAATCAACTTAATAAACAAAGGAGACCGACGTGTTTCAGCCCTCCCTGGTGAAGGCGACAAGCTGAAAGGCGTCGGTCTCATTTGTCAATAAAGTAAATGTTTAAAACTGGATTTGAAGCAAGAACTTGTGAGGACTTTCTTAAAAAAATGAATGAAATGGATCCAGCTACCTTACCTCTCTGTCTCTGCAGGAGATCTCAAGATCTTCAAGCATCTCGAGTCCTGGGATAGCCTGAAAAAGTCATTTCTGTTTTCCTGGAAGATGCTATAATTTCAATCAATTTCCTTCGCTAAAATCAAAATTAAACGACAGACTCTGGACACGTGTAGAAGGCATCATAATTATTGTCTAACTTGCATTATTTTCTGTCAAACACTGTTGAAAAGGAGACTAATGTGTTCTCTTCAGCTCAATAAAAGTGCATTATTCTACAGCCATAATGGAGAGAGAAAAGCTTTGCAGACATGCTGTTCCCTGAAGCAAAGAGTTAAGAGATTAAGAGTCTGCTAATTGATTTTTTTCCTCCAAAAAGAAAACAAGAATCTGCCCGGAAAAACAAAAAAACCCTGAAACACGTCAACAGGATTTCATCAGCAGCGACGTAAGAGCGACATGATTTGTTGTTTGTAATTTAGGAGCTAAAACTTGCAAAAAAAACCAGCAGTATGGTCCTTTAAATTGTACAGAATCCTTTTCAAAAGCCATTGGAAGCTGAGTGTTGGGTCATAAAGTATTTTTTTGTACTGATTCCAGCAGGTGGCGCTAGATAGATAGATAGATAGACGGATAGATAAGCTGATAGATAGATAGTACTCCTGACTTTAGCTCGTATGTGTACTGCATTCATTCTTGACTGAATTAGATAGCCGAACTCTCTTTAATGTTGTCTGTTCTGTTGTATTCTGAGCAGATGTGTGATCCGGCCACAAGAGGGCGACGTAGCTCTATTTTCACAGGGCCGCCGCTCGCCCTCAGCCCTGATGGTTCTTTTTTATACTGTTGCTAGTAAGTGTTGGGACTTGTGCTTTTGATGTTGTGTGAGCCATCGTGTCGTGAAGCATCCTGTAACACATCTGCAGCTCGCCGTTATTATCCTGTACATAATCTCAATCCTCTCACTGCTCCTGTATTCCTGACATTTTGATGTTTGAACATACAGATCCGGTAGGTTGATGTAAATATGATCCATGTGTGTCTTTGGTTGGATGATGAGCAGTGTAGAGTGTTTTAGGCCTACTTTACCTGTGAACCCCTCCTGCTGTTCCTCAGTATAATGTGCTGAATCATGGTGGACTATTAAAACATTAACCTGGTGAGAACAAATTCTCAGTGTTGGTGTCGCCTCTTTTTTTCTTTCTTATTTAATAATAAGTCTTTGTTCTCCTTTATCAAAAGCAACCAAAAGGGGTTGTAAGCCAACTTTATTTTCTAATTTAAATACACTATTTTTATCTGATGTTCCTGACATTTGGATTCAGGATACATTTTTTTTTTTGTTGTTGTATTTTTGGAGGAGACTATTCATTTGAGAGAATCAGCACAACAAGAATCCTCTTGGCATGTACGCGATCAAATAGGCATTTCCCAAAGAGGTCATTAAAACGCTGAAACACGGATTTTACAAGTCAGAAAAGAAATGAAACAAAATGTTAATTGCCTCTAAATGACAGTAAATCTGCTTAGCGGCTGCTGTCATCACCCATGAGCTTTGTTAATCTTTTCTTTTGTTTCCCTCTGAAAGAAGGACGGTCAGAGGAAACCCTGCTACAGAGGGTTTGTTTGTTTCCACTGAAGAATACATACTGGAGGGAAGTGATTAAAAAGGGGGAAAGATGAGTCTTTATAGGATATGGCAGATTATTTAGAAACTGGACAACGGAGCATATGATTGAAATGTAATTTAGAATCTCAGGACTTCATACTACAAGTTTGGCAGACAGCAAAATTGTGTCATGTCAGAGTATCTGTTATAGTAGAATCAAATATAGTAGTATCATAGTCGAGAACCGTAAAACTTTAATTAGGCGCCCATGCTTTTATTTGCTTCAGTCTTTGAAATATGCCCGCCTTTATTTGGGACAGGTGTCATTACGAGACAGATCTTTCATTATATTCAAACAAAACTCAATCACAGCAAAGACAGGAAAGACTACCAAATTGGAAACTGATCATATAGAACATTTAAGAGTGTACAAAATTAGGATTTGAATTAAAAACTTACAAATCACTTAATTGATCTTACTTTGTAGATCTGCTAACCTGCTGCACTGTAGGGGCCAGAGGGAGACCCCCCCCAGCAACACCAGGCCTTACATTGGGAGGAGCTTTTATGTGACGTTTTACGGTAATCTTTTGATTTGAATAGCAGAACTGAACTCTTGAGTCAGGTCAAGGTACATCCCAGTACGACTCACTATACTGGAGAGTAGGTTAAGTCTTAATTTGGTTTTCATTTTGACTGTATCTCAAATCTGAAACCTTAAAATTAACCAATCACTTGGAGTTCTCAGTACCTTCAAATTGTACTTAGGTGCAGTGTTATAGGCAGTTAATCACAGCCATTTGTTTTGACATTTGCTTACTCAATAAAAATCTAAAGGGTAACAAAGAATAGGACAACCAGTTTGATGATGAGTACAAGGATCACGTGTGAGCGGGATCATTTTAAGGGTTAACCACATCTGTCTAAACTGGATCAACAGCATGTCTTCCAAGTTGTGTCAGGGCTGTCATTAAAGGAATAAAACAAAGCTGATTAAAGAAACATTCTGACATTTGAGCAGGGAGTAATGCTGAGTCATGTTACAGTTTATACTGTCAGATCGTTTGTAAGAGCTATTTAAAGCCTCAGGTGAGTAGACTGAACGAGTAACGACTGTACACTGAACACTGTTTATTCAAAGGTAGTAGTCCAAACAGAGTGAGTCTGGATTAATCCAGCCTTTCCAGCCGGAACAAATAATAAGAGAAAGTCTCTTTGTCTCACTTCATCCCACTTCCGATCGCTCGTTTGGCAGACGGCTGCCTACCAGTGAGTCTGGTTCTGCTGCAGGTTTCTGCCCGTTGAGAGGAAGACTCGTGTTGCTTAACCTAGAGCTTGCTCATCTGTGATTTATTTGGATCCATGTACTCAACAGAACAGAGAGTGCAGTCTAGACCAGGTTTTTGTTTGATTACATCAAAATAAAAATAAAGATGAATTGAAGCTGATTGATGATAGATTAAAAAAAAAAAAGCCCTGATTTTGTCCCCAGAGATGAAAAACAGACACACATCTGCTTTCAGGGAAGGGAAGTTGTTGTTCACTTCTTGATGAAGACGTCTAACATCCTTCTGTGAAGACCAGACTTGTACCTGGTGGACTGGACATCAGAACGTGCACGAGTGTCAAAGGACGGATGAAGAGTTCGTCTGCCGGCTGAGCGTCAGAGAAGAAAATGAGACAACACAAACACATCAACAAAGACACCTCTCGAGAAACGGAGGTCTGAGTGCAGCGGACGATCCAGGAGAGGCTGCAGGAGGTGCACGAGGGCAAACACCCGGTGGACGTCAGTGAGATAGATATCGAAGAAAGACATTGAAGACAGCAGCCTTCAGATTCACCAGTATGAGAAGAATGGATGAAATATCACTATCTGTATCTGCTAATGAGTGAGAATGCTTTCCACTACTAACTCACCAAGGATACGGGATAATAGAGCAAGAAGATGTGGTCCTCTCACCTTGAGGAAGGTTGGGTGATTGCGGATTACGACAAAGGAAAGGCCTCTTTTTTTTTTTATCCAAAGGCCAGGTGTCAAATCTGCTCATTCTGCTTTAAATAAAACTTATTTAACTTATTTACTCCAACTGCACTGTTGGGGTAAAGATCAAGCCAACTAGAACTTCAGACAAATGCTACAAGACCAAAGGATGAATTCTTCAGTCTCTAGCTTCTAAAAACCAAATCAAACAACTAAAACACAGCAGTTACATGGCGCTGTACACTATCGTAAAGGCTTGGAGAATGCTCTGAGGTAGAAAAAAAAAACAAGGGAATTTGTGCTTTATGACCTCAACAAGGTCAAGAGTAATTTAGATTCAGGAGGCTTGTCCTGGGTCGGCTCTTCTCCTAATTTTATTGACACGAGGAGCCGGGGAGGTCAGAGAGAGCTAACAAGACACATTCCCTCCAGAGTTTTTTTTCCCTCTCTGTGTCTTTGAGAAAGTAAGAGCGAGTGTCTGCGTGAACCAACCGCTGAGCTCTCCTCATTAATCACACAGAAAGCAGAGGAACCGGGGGGAGCTGTCCTACATCCCAGGGACACACACATACACACACACACACACAGACACAGACCCAATCCTTAAAATAACTGGGACCAACATAAATAACACCAAAAAGTGTTTTAAATAAGGCTGAAGCATTACTCAAAACTTCACAGAGAGAGAGACAGAAACAGGCCGATTCACAAGCTGTCGAACGGACGACAGTGATTGTTTCATCCAGTGTGTGTGTGTGTGTGTGTGTGTGTGTGTGTGTGTGTGTGTGTGTGTGGTGTGTGTGTGTGTGTGTGTGTGGTGTGTGTGTGTGTGGTGTGTGTGTGTGTGTGTGTGTGTTAATGGCCTGTTGGCTATGCAGCGTTATGCGGGGCTTAATCTGACTTTATGTGATGACAGACGAGTATGGAGGGCAAATATTATGCCAGCTGGTGTTCAGAGCATCCAGCCAAGCACAGACACATGGTCCAGTTTCACTTTAGACGGATCCAGAGCTGGTTTTTATTCCACTTTAATCAAAACCTGTCTCAGGTGTCATAATGCTAAATGTCACCTGAGACAATTCCATTTCTCCCTTTCCTTAAAACTGGACAACATGAGCAGATACTCAACATGACTAATCAATGTTGCAGTGTTACGTAATCACCAACGTGTGTAGCACGTCTCCAAATTTGGTGATTTTAAGGCAGCGTGAGGAACGCTCTCTAAAGCCAGTCTGAGAAGGTCAAAAATGTGCACTGATCAGGCCAAAAAAAGGTCTGTTATGTTGTAATTTAGGGAAACGTTTTTTTTTTTTCTTCTTCTGGACAGTAGGTATGCAGCGTCAGTCTGAGAGACAATCAGTGCACAGAGCAGGGAGTCAGACAGAGAGAAGCACTGAACTGCTCTGGCAGGTTGATTGGGCCGGGGATAAAAGGAGAACGTTTTGAGGGAAAGGATGCCTTAAAAACACTTTTTTTTTTTTTTTTATGTGAAGTAGAAAAACTTTAAAGTATGATAACCCAGTATATGGATCAGCCAGTATCACCAGGCCTATATGGCCCTTTCATGCATACATCAATAGATGCATTTTACTTATATACAATACAACAAAGCTCCCTCTTTACACCTGGCAGAGGAAACAAGAATTTGAGTCAATAATTATGACCTATTATGGCCTTTATTTTGCTTGAATAAAGCAGCACTGCACCCACAATGCACTTTGAAAACTCAGTCAGAGACATATTTTGATTGACCTTAAGTTCATTTAGTAATAGTGACTTCCCGGTTCACTTCTGGAGTTTGTATTAACATCCATATTGTTAAAAGAATCAATTTAAATATGATGATTCCAAATTTTAATTCCTTTAAAATCAGTTTCACAAATTCAAATGTTAGTCTCTAATAGAATTTAAATCTGACGTGAAGAGAAGGTGGAGAAAAATAATGCAGCCGACAGAGACAAACCAGTGCTGAAATAGTATTTTTATTAAATACTTTCAAGATCCAAGTTTGAAGAATAACAAAGCTATGATGAAGACCAACTAACACTCAGACAAACACTTGATAGTCGTCAATTCATGGTTGTATTTCATTGTACATCATGATCATGCAAAAAAACTCCAGCATCCATGTGAAGGCTGGGGGAGAAAGCGCAGCCCAATAGTATATCATTACAACGCAGGGAAAACGCTAACATCGAGGGCCTCATACCAAGCTACGGCTCCTGAATCCTTTTTTTAAAAATTTTGCAATTTTTTTTTAAATATTTTTCATGTCACCTATTCAACATTCTGGATGGAGAATATCTTATTTCAAAAGATGCAAATATCATATATTAACACTAGCTCCATCCTTATTCAGGTAGGTACATGGTAGAAATGCGTAACTGAAACATGCATATAACTAGGTCTCCCGCTCTGGTTCAACAGTGGAGGTCACAATAACCTGCACGCCCACACCAACTCTCTCTCTCTCTCTGGCTTTAACACTCCTCTCAACTGAGCAGGCACGATTTAAAACCACCAAGGGTAGATTACATGAGAAATAATTTAGTCTTGATCAATCTGTCATTGCTCAAT